CTAGATCTGGTAATACAGACTGACTCAGGCTCTTGAAGGTAACTAGAGTCCCTTACTCTTCTTCAAGTTACAAAAGTACTCCATTTGCCACTTTATGTTATAAATATTGTCCACTGAGGTGCTGAACAACAGTCTTGAGTACACGTGGTTATGGAGAAGAAAACCAAAACGTGAATATGGAATCACTTTCAGATGCCAGTGAGAGGCAGCAGACAAGACTCCAAAGCAGGATAAGATGAACCCTATGCCATCTCCACTGCTGTCTTACTACAGCCACCCATAAACTGGACATGGAGCCCAGAACCCTTAGACAGTTGCTGGCCCTAGATAATTTAGCAGCAGAGGTACAAGAGGAAAAATAGTAGCCCATTTTCACTACATCTTGTATCTTCCCTCTTAATATTTCAGTGCCATAAATGACCTGTCAGAAAATATAATAGTGTACTACTTTAAAACCCCCCTTGTCTCACAATGAAGTGAACACAGAAACAAAAGGGATAAGGAAAAGTATTCCACATCTGCTCATTAGGTAGTGCTTTCCTGATTTCCGCTCAGAGTTCTGAGCACCACCAGGTATTCCAGACAGATGAGGTTCCAAAAAGTGTACAAAACATCCCACAGCCCCTGAAAACACCAGTAAGATCAAAATGTTGAAGGACTACCCAATGATTACATACAACTAAGTGATAAAAAGTCTAAGAAGATAAACAATTTCCAACGCAAATACCTTGTAGAGCTGCGTGTGAAGATGTTAGGTGTAATTCCAAATAATTAGTTGTAGTTGGGAAGCTTCTAAACAAAGCAGCATAAAGCCAGGGAAAACAATCTTGATTTTGAGTTTGGGGAATGTCCCTAAATTGCGGCTCAGGTGGCCTGGGGACTCAAGAATGAGAAAAAAATGATGCTAGTACCTCTAAAGTAACAAAGGCAGCTTCAGATGGGCAGGTAAGTATAAAAGGAATCCTCTGCCTCCAAAAGACTGGGTTACATGAGAAGTAGGCCTATGTTAAAACAAAAAAATGTTCATAATATTTTAAGCTGAGATAAGGCAAATGACATCATTTGCATGTAGATGCAAGAGAAGTAAAGGATAAAAATCCTGAATTCCCGTGGGTGGTAGCAATACATTATCTAGATAGGCAGCATAAAAATGCAATGAGGAAAATCTTGTTTGGGGCTTTGTATTTGAGGAAAGGGGAAGCCTGTTTTCTCAAATAGGGAGGGGGTGTAAGCATTTGATTCAACATTCAACCATCAAAACCAAGAATCACCAGTATCGTAGCTACCACTTCCTCTAATCTAGGGTTACTACTAGTCCTGAAAATCCTTGCACCAGAATCATTATTATCAAAGGATAACTGGGGATTTTTTTGGGTGCAATTTTTTCAACAAATCATCCAAAACATCTTTAAAAACCTTTTATACCCTGTAATCCCAGCACTTTGGGAGGCCGAGACGGGCAGATCACGAGGTAGCCGGGCGAGGTGCGGGCGCCTGAGTCCAGCTACCCAGGAGGCTGAGGCAGGATAAGGCGGGAACCCGGGAGGCGGAGCTTTGCAGTGAGCTGAGATCCGGCCACTGCACTCCAGCCTTGGCGACAGAGCGAGACTCCGTCTCAAAAAAAAAAAAAAAAAAACCTTTTTACACATTGTCTAATTAAAAATGTCAAAATATGTGCATACAGTTACTTCTGAGACAATAGCCACCAACATGCTCTTGAGTAATATAAATACATAAAACACAGATTTTTTTTTTTTTTTTTTTTTTTGAGATGAGTTTCACTCTTGTTGCCCCAGCCCTCCGGACCGCTCGGCCGGCCCCCCACTCTTTTGGCTATACCACCACCTCCCCCTTCACCGCGCTTCAGTCTGCCCTCTCACGTCCCCTCGAGTATCGGACTTCCACACCGCGCGGCACTCCCTTTCACCAACACCGGCTAATCATTTGTATTTTCGTAGGAC